TCCCGCCAGCATCTGCTCAAGCCATATCATATATTTTTCGAGAAATAACTGTACAAGTTACCTTCTGTAATCGTTCCAACAATACTGCCTTCACTCCACTTTTCTCTAAGCCTCTTTTTTCGAGCTCTTGACGGAGATCTACCACTCGTAAATCGGCGAGTTTTCTTCCGCCCAACAAAACAGTCGCCATTTTTAGACATGTGCCGTGAGCGAAGAGAAAGAGAATCTCCCGGATGATATAGCTTGAGTCGCAAGGCCTTGTGGTCAAGACCCGGTACGATTTCTACACGGAGTATTGCGAAGTTCCACGGAAATTACCGAGCATTGCCTATCTCAATAACGACTTCTTGTCGATCATCGATCGCAATATGATCGTCATAGAAACATAAACAAGATGGCGAGTTCTTCGTCTCTTATGTGATACAAAGCAATTTTGCTCCGAATCACAATGGCCCAAACGGAAGACTTGGTAAATATGTACTATAAGATATTTTTCACCAAATATTGTTTTAAAATTATAAAGAAAAATTATCAATGGATCGTACATAAATCATGAAACAACCTGACTTCTAAAAGCCTCTCCAAAATAATTATTTTGCTATTCAATTCGATACATGCACAGTATAAGCCTTCCCAGCTCAGTAGAAGATGGATTTGGAAAGACGACACAAACACACTGGAACCAGTAAGGTAAGATAGTAGAGACTAATAATATATATTTTATTCGCTATGAAATTTATTTTCCCCACAGTTTCGAAGGGACGTTAATGGTGATCTTATTAACTTGGACTGGTCCAAATTGACCATCGCAGAGGTTGCAATTAAATCAACGAGGAGGAAAAAGGCACGAAATATAGATCCGGAGAGAATGTAACATGAATCCTTTATATGCACATCTTTACTGCTGTGGTATCTCCCGAGAATGTCCTGAATAAAACTACCGTTGAATCAATAAAGCGTCACCGTACTGAGAGGGCAAGCGGTCAGTCGTCAAAGTCCCGAATTTTTTTACCTAAATCACTATAATTCAAGTGAATTATAGTGATTTAACACTAAATTACCCTGTTAGACTCTCACACCTACGTAGCACCACAGTTTCATCTCATTGTCCTCAACCTGTACTGAACAGTCACTAAAAGCAGGGCCACTCAAATCAAACTAAGAATAATCTTTGAAGTAATTTTTAATCCGTACTTCTCTCCCAAATCAAAGTAAGTAGTACTTTCGAGCAAGATTCTGCATATGAAGTGGTCAATTATGGCATAAATTGGTATTGTTTATCATTTCATAATTTCCCAAATCTGTGGAACCAAGGTGTATTTAGTCAAGGTGTATTTAAAACCGTCACCCTACCATGGGTGACTGCTTAATACAAGTTCGACTGTATACTCCTTGTGATTTATGCATGAATTATAAATAGAGGGGGTAAGTTTCTAAAGAAACTGTGGTGCTGTGTAAGTGGGAGAGTATAACAGGGCAATTTAGTGTTATCAATTGAGTTGATGACGTAAATTGGCCATCGTAAAGAGTTTCAAAGCTGACATTTTGAGGGGTGGCCCTTCATTCATTAGCTCTGATGAGGGGCTAACATGCAAAACATTAGCTTTGAATTATGTTGTGTTTTTCTTCTGTCAACAGCACTGTTCCTGGAAGCTTTGATAAAGGTGTTAACTTTCATCTAGCTGCAAACAAATCCAAAAGAAGCAAAGGAGGCTTAGGAATTCACTTTCAGGACCTGAACAAGAAAAATGATAGGCAAGGCAAAGCTAAGAATGATAGAGTTGTTGATAAATTTTTCTTTTTTCTTGATTAACCCTTTAACTACCAGAAATTATTAGCACATAACTTTTCCCTGTGATTACCATATTTCCTCGAACAAGTAACCACACTCCTATAAGCACCCACCAAAAATAAGTGCCCACCCCCCTTGTTATAATTATAATATCAAACAAGCACCCCCCCTCAAATAAGTACCCCCACTCCTCCCTCGCTTTCTTAAATAGTAGAGACACAAGAAAAAACCTGTCTCCATTGCCTCTTGATTTATAACTTCTAAATCTTCAACTTAAGCAGAATCAGTACAAGTCAAAATTTTCTCCATGAATGCTCGAGGTCTCCTTCCAGTAGACACCCCCTCTTTTGACAAACTCTCCTTGTTAGCACCTTAAGAAATGTATAGAGAACAGTGTGGCAGATATGTGTACTAATGTTGAGATGTAAAGTAGGAGTTGGTCATGTGAGTTTGTTTCATACCCAAGGAAGAAGTACATATCAAAAAAATACACAGAAATCACTTATTCAAAATGCAGAATACACATATTAATCAAAGAAAGGTCACTGTTGAGATTAATTTCCTTATTGATTTTATTTAGCGATTTTATTCTTGAGGCTGAAGATTTTAATTTTCATATGTTCCCGTAACAAAAACATTGCTCTTTGTTTGTTCCTCACTCAGGGGTACACCATCAGTCATGTCCAAAAACTACGGGGCTACAGGAGCAACATCTCGTCGTGGCCAGGCATACCTGTTGGTACAAAGAGCTGGTAACATGAAAGGTTCCTCACCACGCCCTAGTGTCAAGCCAGCTGCAGCCAATGAACATGCAACTGTAACACTGGATGATGTCAAGAGTGTTGCATTAGATTCCATGCCAGATGTTGACCTCCTTCCTCCAGCATTTCAGGAATGTTATAGGTAAAAGTTGCAGGAAACACAGCAGCCCTGTGAATAATTGGTTAGAATGTGGATTGAATAGGTTAGGGCTAGAGCTCTGGCTGTGTCATTGTGCTGAATTCTTGGGCCAAAAGAGCATCTTACTGTCCAGGAGTTTAAATGGGTACTTGTTAACTCTTAAGGAAGCTTAGCAAAATGGTCAGGTGGGAAGCAGCAATTGCCGCTTGCCTAGCTCAAGTTATAAAATGCTAGACTGTTGTGCATGAGGTCTAGGATTCAATTCCCAGACTGGACCAACACTCAATGTCTTAAAATAACTGCTCAGAATGTGCTGTCTTAGCTATGACATTTGCAAATGGTTAGACATCCTAGTCTTCTTGGGTAAGGATGAGAAATCATAGGCAATGCATCCTGCATCTTCTCTGTGCTGTTTAGCAGATGTTAGAGAGCCCATGCACTCCTCATAGCTAACAATTTAGTTCCCAGTGTTGTGGTCTGGCCTTGTTTCAATGGTTTACTCCTGGTTGCTTCATGCTATGGAAACCAGGATCAGTTTGATGGCAATGATTAGACCAAGTTTTTGTCGCTAGATTTGAAAGACTCCATGAATTGTGGAGATCCAGTTTGATTACAGGCTAAAGCTACAAGCTACAAGTAATAGTGGGCTGACCCAAAAATTGAATAACAACCATTTGACAAGCAGTGATTGAAATTTGAGGCTTGATGTGGCCTTAGAAAATCACATATTCAAATGAAGCACAAAAAAAGAAAAAGAAACTTTCTGGAGGGGGGGGGGAGATTTCAGTAATGTATCTAAATTTCATAGCTACACTATACTTGTTTCTGTACTTGATGATGCTTGAAGCATTTGGAAGATTTGAATCTTTTTTTTCCAGCTCTGAACAATTTGATGAATTTCAACTGGCCATTTTGAATTACTTTGATGCATTCTTTGAGAGGATGGCTATTGAAAATAAACCAAAACCAATGGCAGTGTAAGTGATATTGACACTTTCATATGAAAGAGATGGACTTAACATTCCACTCTAAAAGTTTACATTACACCTTCCTCTATGAGTCCATAATGTGGCCTTGCCTTAGATTTACTGAAAGATAATGAGTGGTTTGTTGATACTGATGAAGCCAAATCTATATTAGCTTGGCTAAGCTAGCTTTAGAATGATGTTAGTGTGAGGGCTATAGAAATGTTCTAGGTTAGTACCTTGAGCCTGCAGGTGAAGTGCAAAGAAAAAATAAGATTTAAACTGTAAAATCTTGGTCCATTTTTTTTCTGTGAAATGACTCCTGTGCTGCAGAGAGAAGAAGGATCTGTGCTGCAGAGAGAAGTAGGATTGATATCAGTATCTGACAACTTGCTATCAGTCAATTGATAACAAGTTAGGGTTAATGTTGGGTTAGGGGAGGGGTATGTGGGCAGTTGCCCAGATACTGATATTGATCCAAGAAGTAACTTAAAAATGATGCATCAAAGTGTGATATTGGTAAGACGTATATGTATTTAATTATGACATCCACAGAGTTTACATGTAATTATACATGCAATACAATGAAAAGAAGAAGTAAACAAAGCAATTGCTAACTTGTATCATTTTCTGCGCAGTGAACCAAGTCTAGCTGAGAGAAAAGCGCTTGCAACAGCTGTCTCCAAACAAGAATCAGCACAGAGACTTCTAGGACAATGTTACTGTACACTTGTTCTTGGGCTTGGACTGGAAGATAAACATCACATGGGCTGTGGCAGGTAATTATTTCTTGAAGAAAAGATAAGAAGTATCATGTACATGAAATTTAATTTGCAGAATTTTTTTATTTGGATGTTGGTAGTATTTTCAGTGCTTAGCAGGACCAAATTTTCAGCCTGAGATCACCAAAATTTTTGCTGGGAACTCACATGTTTGTGATTTTCTGTGCATAAAGAGAGGATAGATAGATGGAATTTTCTAATTTTTCAACTTTTTGAGTCATGTAATGGGGCACCTCTTGAGAGGTGAAAATAATATAGATGGAATTCTGTTAGTGAGTCCAAATTCATTGAGAACAGCTGACACTTTTGATTCACTTACGGAATGTTCCATTTGACTGGTAGATTAAGTAAATTGTTTTGTGCTGTCTATCTTGCTTCCTTTTTTTTATTGTGAGAGATATTTTTGGGATCATGAATCCTCAAAACCTGCAAGTAACAAAATGAAGCCTTACAAAGTTTTTATGCGACACATTTATATGTGAATCATGAGAGAGCTCTGGTGTTAGATTTACTAGGAAATGTGTCAAGGAATCAAGGAAGCACTTTAAATGATAATTTTCCATCTTACTTTCCACCTCATCTTATTATTAGAGGAGGAGGAAAGCAGGTTGGGAAATTTTTATTCCCTTTAGGTGATATAATATGGAAAAAACAGGTCCATGGCCATGGATTGACCACCCTGCTTTATTGGAGTCAACTTAACATACATGTATATCAGTCTGGGCCCAGTTGTTCAAAAGATGGATAATGCTATACAACAGATTAATCCCTATCCTGCAAAAAATTGCTAGCTATCAAAAGAATAAATTGCTATCCAGCAGATATCAGTGTTGGCGAAACTTTCTACTGGATAGAGATTTAACCCTTTAATTCCCAGATCAAATTTATAATTCTCCTTTACTGTCAACTACACAATTCTTATGTTAGTTTGGAGAATTTAGTATTGGATCAATTAAGGATATTTTTCTTTATTCTCATCAATTATCTGATTGATATTGTGTGGATATTGTAAGGAGAAATGCTGTCTTGGTCACTTAAGGGAGTTCGAGGGTTAGCCAGTGAATAATGTTATCCACCCTTCAAACAACCAGGGCATGGTCTGGAATAAATTCCCTCAGTTGTTGTCTCTAACTTGCTGTTCGCTAAATTTTAGACAACGTAGCTCATACACAAGCAGAGACAGGGAACTCTATGAGGTAAGTTCATTGTTATATGTACAGTTATAAGAACATGATTGGTTTCATTTCATGCCTGGCCTGGGTTGTTCAAAGGTTGGATAGTGCTGTCCACTGGATAAATGGCTATCCAGGGGATAAGTGTTCACAAAACTACTGTGTCAGCTGGATAGGAATCTATTCAGTGGGTAGTGCTATTCAGCCTTTGAACAACAAGGGCCTGGTAATTTAAGGTTGGCTGGATCATTTAATGCATTTGTCTACATTTTTTATTTCATTATTTTCTTATTCCAAAGGCTCTTTACCCATTTTCTGCATTTGTGACCTACGTTGCATTTAGACGACAACATTTGGATTTAATACAAAAAGAACTGGGAAGGTACGTATTTCATTTAACACAATAGATATTTTTAAAAAAATCATCAATATTTAAGTGACCATGATCTCTTATTATGATCAATATCACTGACATCATCCTTGTCATTATTATTATTACTGTCATTTTCACGGTCACTGTCAATGTCAATGTCAATGTCATCGCCATATCATTATTATCATCATAATCAGCATCACTATTAAGATAAAATTCCTATTTTTGTTCATTTCGGTATTTATTCATACTCAGTTTACCTTTTCTCATCAGATTGTTTCGTTCAGACACATTCAACCCAGCAGGGCGACCCCAAGCAGTTGAAGGTACTCACACGTGACTTCACATAACGAAACGTTAAACACAGGGGCACATCACCGAAAGAAACATAACGTAATTGAAATATCATACCTTTTTCTTGTCAGAGGTGTATGCTATGGATCGCCTCAAAGACAGCACCAAGCAGCCGTTGACACCTGCCGAATATCGTAGGCTCAAACCGTAAGTGTTTTAATATCCTTTTTACAGTTCAACTCACAGTCTATCAATTGATTTCAAGAAAAAGATTAGTTCGGCACTTCGGACCGAGAGGCCTGGGCTCAAGTCCCGGCCGGATGACTTTTTAACCCTCCCCTCCATGCCCTATTCATTATTTTGTCTTAATGCAAAAGAGCTCTCACAGCCCGCCTCGTCTCTCGAGGACATTTGGAAGGCCACTCCATCTGCTTTTCTTCTCATCTCAGCACCTAAGACCCCGGGTGTCTAGGACCCGTGGATAGAATTTATTTCCACACTAGCATAGTCCAAATGCATGACAAACTTTCAGAGCTACAGAACATTATGCTCTTGAATTAGTTAAACTGTATATGTAAGTGATTGTCTCCTTGCCATACTTTACCTCCTCTAAATATCGCCATTGCCTTGATTGCGTCACAGAAAGCGACCGCCTATCAAGTCAATTATCAAGTAAGTACGAATTGAATGATACTCACAACTTCATGATAAAATTTTAATTTTAAAACTGATTTTCTCTTCTTGGTCTTGCATTATTACACTTTGACATTGAAATTTCAAACAAAAAAAGCAATTATGCCCGTGAGACTAGTTGTGACGAGGTTTGTTCTTTCCTACAGCCAACGTTCTCCGGTGCTGGTGTCCCTGTTACCGACCTCACAGGAAGCAAGTCCGTGGTTTCTTGATCGCACCAAAGCTCTTCCCTTGTCGGAAAAGTAAGATTATGGTCATGAAATTTTCAACTCCTTTCAAAAAGTGACAGATGGTTGGCTCTGCATGCAGAATAGTCGTAAATGCTACTTTGTTGAAATGTCATAGCAGGTGCTATGTGTGTTCAAAATGGCAAGGCACGCGAAAACTCACCCCCTTCCTTCCTTCGCTGCCCAAGTAACCGCGCGCACACTGTGAAATCACGGTTCGTGTACTATTTTCAAGCACGCTTCGTTAGAAATCCGTTTTAATGTCATCCATCCTTGTTCCTGCTTGTTAAGTGTCATCTCTTGTTCGTGTATCTATCTCAATGAACAAATACTTGTAGTCTCCTTCGGTAAATTTTAAAATGGTTATGAACTGCATCTGAAACTGTATCAAGTGCCACGACGATGCTCCTTCTTTGCTCACTTGTGACGCACAAAATGTTCATTAAATTATGATTTTTGCAGTGAGATTCCACACGAAGAAGAAAAGCTGGGTCTTATCCTTCAACCCAAGTAAGTAAATTCGTGGTAGTTGATGATGTACATGTAAAGAGAAAATTATCAGTTCTCATTTTTCGTAAATGTTTGTTCTGACATTGCAGAAAAGATTAAGCTTTTTCAGATTTCTTCTTCTTCTTCAAATTCGATGGTTTGTCTATCACTGCCTCAGTTTGTACCATTCCTTTTGACTGGTATTCCAAAATTTTGGAGTTCCAATTCAAGTCTATTGCACCCAAAAAAGGTTTCCCCCATCCAAAGCACATTTTCTTTCAAAAGACACCCCCATAAGTCTTATTGAGATTCTAAGAAATATGGGACATGGTTTTTTTAGACTAGTATGCTGTTAAGATGGAATGTGACAGTAACTGTGATGTCAAGTCAACGTTTTCTTTTCCCTGCAGAGTTGGTATCATCGGAGAACCCATGTCCGGTTTTAATCCATTGACTTTGGCACCGTTTGGCGAGGAACATGAGGAGGAGACTGGAGACGAGGCGGGATCAAGAAGAAGGTATAACCTAGAGCGCATTTTGATTGGATGTCGTTTAACCAGAGTCATCGTAACAGCCAATTAGAACAAAAGGAAATATCAAAGGGAGCCAATGAGAACTCAAAGTAAAGACAAGGAAACTGCTTGAAGCGCGGGAAACGCGAAGTCGCGACTGCTTCTGGTTTTGACTCTGATTGGTTGACAAAATCGTGCAAGCTTTCGGACCAATCAGAGAGCGAAATAAGGCAAAACCTAATAAATTCCGGATTACTTTCGACACTTAATTGAAAATTGGTGTTGAATTGTATCTTGCTTTCTTTAAAATTCAAACCCTTAGTCTCAGCGCTCCTCTATGAGCTTACGTCATTCACGAAGCACTTATATTTTACTTACTTTTAGGACGAACTTCAGTTACGGCAGGAGCCCATTATCCGAAGCTTCCATCTTCCATATTTACCATCGGAGTCAACCCTGTCCCGTATCTTTTTATTGTTAGAAGCACCTCCCCCGGGGTTTTTCGCGGGTGTTTACATAATAGCCAATCGTAAGAGAGCTGTAGTCCTCTATTGTTTATGTCACATGCAGAGAATGAATAGAGGTCAGCCTTCGCCTTTGGCCGCCATTTTTTTTAGGGTTTTATGCGAACGTCAGCGTGTTTTCGCGGAAAATTAAAGAACCCACTACATATCTCAGTTTTAAAAATAATAAGATACAGGACAGGGGTGACTCAAGGGTACAATTGGTATGGAGGCTCCGGGTAATAGGCTCCTGGTTACAGCCAAACTAAACTGCGCTTTTTTTTTAATCCCCATTCAGTTCCATACCAGGTGAAGCACCTGTCACCCCCAATCAGGGTAAGTCGTCATCATCAGCAGCCGCTCATAAGTGCTGCTCTATAACGTTGTTCTATAACGTTCAGACCCTCCTCGGGCCGTAACTTGAGCGAGCTTGTGCAGAGAAGTGACAGAAATTGTTCACGGTAAATTCGCCTGGCACTAGTCATTATTCATCTTCAATGTTTACCTCTTGTCCAAATAGCAGGAAATTTGGTCATTGAATAATCGCCTACATTAGCAATAGCAATTTAGGTTCCCAAACAAGTCACAATTTTGCAATTTTTTTCTCACATTTCTTTAAAAACTCACGATAAAAAGGGACACGCTTTGTGACACCTGCTAATCAAAAATCTTAATTATATTCGACCCCAATCTCCGACAGAATTTTGAGAATGATAAAAAACACTCTAATAACACCATGAAAAAATAAAAACCCAGTGCTTTCGGTTCGGCCAGACCTGATAAATGTAGAACACCTTAAGTATTATCCGTTCGAAATCCAATTCTCTCTCTTACCTTCCTTTTTTTATCATTAATTTTCCGTTTTGATTCTGATTTATACAGGAGCAACCAGCGACGTAGAAGAAGGAGAATCCGCTGAACAGGAGGAATGATATAAACACCAACTTTTAGTGCATGTGTCCTGACGTAAAGTCAGATTGTCACAAGAAAATCACACACGTTCTGTCAAACAAATTATTGTAGATAAATTGTACAGAGTGTCCATTCTGTAATGTATTTAATAAATTTTTTTAAATTTGTAACAGCTTTTACTCCCTGTGGAGTAAAAGCTGATACACCTTGTTTATTGAACACGACGTGATTTTCTGTTGTTGTTGCCCCAAACGCAGATGCTCCCAATTGTAACAAACCAACAAGCTTGGAAGTCATTACTCGCTTGTTTCTCGGCATCACGTTGTGAATAGGTGAATAGAAGATATTTTTGCAATTGAGATTATTCATATTTAACAAGCCTTCCAGCGAGTCTAGAAGTCTTATTAATTACAAGTCTAATTTTAATTTTTTGTAAATGAGAAAATGTATTAGTTATAGTTTCTATTTGTTGCTCTTTCCGTTGGCAAATAGAGCTTTCTGTTTACTTTGGCGCCGTTTGAAACAAAGATGGATACGGAAAACTCATGACACTATGGGTTGTCAAATCCTTATTGCCTCAATTGATATCGTAGCGGACAGCAAGCAATTTCTTATTTTCTGAGAGAGTTTAAAGAATTATTCAGTTTAATACCAGGATCGCGGATGTTGGAAAATTTTGACATGAGTTATCGAGTGCTGTGTTGACAGTGTGTTTCCCTCCTTGAAGTGTGGGTTTAAACTAGCAGCAAAATAGAGGTGCAAAGACACGGGTGTTTCCTTTTGTCAAGCTTGAAATCTGCTGTAACCAAGATTTTTCAGAAGCAGACCTCTAAGCTTTTCCTTTGTCCTGAACGGAAAATACCGAATCGCGAACAAAATACTAATTAAAGTGACCTGTTGGATATCCACGGAGGCGTATTACGTAATAACTGGGAAAAATCAACTGTGCTTCGGTTGTGTTCCACCGTAACAGTTAAAAACGGAGATTGCTTGAAGGGTGACACCCATAACTGCCTCGAACACAACATGACGACTTCAGATGAGGCATCTGACTGCAAACTCCCACTCGGATTCACTGGCGAGGTCTTGGCAATGGTTTCGTACACCTCGCTTGGTATTATCGGATCGTTGGGAAACATCTTCGTGATTCTTGCTATCTACCGTACACCAACTTTAAGGAACGTGTGCGGAATTTTAATAGCAAATGTCGCTGTGTCTGATCTGATAATGACAGCAGTAGTAATGCCTCTTGTAGTGTTTGTCCTAATTCAGGGGTTTTTGGATAAGTGCATATATCAAACTCCAATTTTTGTTGTCTTGATAATAGCACTTTTCTCTGCCGGTTCATCGCTTCTGACTCTAACCAACCTCAGTGTGGATCGCTGCTTTGCGATCTGTCGCCCGATGAAGCACAAAACGATCGTAACTTTAACAAAAGCAAAGATATTAATTGCAAAAACGTGGATTGAGTCCTTGATACTCCCTATTTTAGAGACGTTCTACCGTGAATCGACCATCGCAAAGTTCCTTCAGACCATTGGAGTGGTCTACTGTTATTCCATCATAGTCATAAGCGGTATTTTTACGATCAGGAATGTTCGCGCCAATTCAAGACAAATAAGATCACTACATCAAGATCAAGGAGCGTCTCGCCTCACTGCAGATTTGACCCAGAGGAACAAACAAGTCGCCAAGACGATCGCACTTGTCGTGTTCCTCTTCACCTTATGTTGGATCCCAATCGCGTTTATCATAAGTATTGAGATCGATGCAGATAGAAATGGCAGAATCTATTTCTGGTTTGCTACACTGGGGCTCGCTAACTCAACAGTAAACCCGTGGATTTACTTCTATCGGCAGCCAAACTACCGCAAAGCGCTCAAATCGTTGCTCGGATGCAAACAAGGCACATCTAACGCTGTCGTGCAAGTCCAAAATCGCAATGCAACACAAGGGACTAAATTGACCAGGTGAAAGAAAAGGCGGTGCCTCGTTTATACCCTCCA